TGTCCCTCGCTTAACGTAGATGTTATGTTAATGCAGTGAATGCGTGATTTGTATCGAAAGTCGAAATTATTTTTATCATATGGAGACTTGTTCCTCATCGCTTTCTTAAAGTGCATTCGCAAAATCTAGTTTGATTGGAAATTTTATACAGGATCAGAATTAATCCCGAGTTTTCTTGTCTTGCACTGGAAGTAATAATTTTGACAATGAGTCAATGACAATTATATGCTATATTTTGAAATCAAGTTAATTCAGTAAATTAATTCAGTAGTATACAATTTAACATACAATTTTCGCTTTTTTTGTTTTATTAAATGTTCTGCCTAGTAATAATAACGTTAATAATAGTACCATATCTTAATAATCATACGAATTTAGTATTATATATGGATATACATAATGATTATTTTTTTAAATCCAAATTGTTAAGTAAATAAATTTAAGCTTTATGCAAATAATTTGCTTATTTTTCGATGATTGCTCTAATAAAAATACGATTACGAACGTATATATTTAATTTTTTAATTGTTATTTTAAAATTATTTTTAGGTATTGGACATCCCGCCATTTCAGAAAATTGTTATTAATTTATATATATATATTATATACTTTTCTATGATAAAATACATGCAGATATATTACGAGATATATTTAACAAGTTTTGATTTTTGTCGATTTAGATAATTTTTACCAACATACTTTATGTTTTTTTATCAATAATATCGTGATTACATGAATTTAATTAAAAATGTGTGGATGCAAAAAATTCGAGGTAAGTCGAATGAGTATACCTTATATTAGCGAGGTATTAATAATTAAAATTTTGGCAAAATGTAGAAAAAAAAGATTGTTAAATTTTATATGTAATAACAAATTTTTCAGAAAGCATACTTAGTTCTTTAAAATCTCGCTATTATCAAGTTCGATTTATCTCGACAGTTGGTACCCGAGAAACTTTTGTATCCATACATATAAAAAAATTACAATAACGCATGTATTTTATTATTATTAAATATATTCCTTCGTAATCACCATTCCATAAGGAAATCATTTTATCTTTTTTATTTTTAATAAAAGATAATTTGTAGTAATATGTGGTAGAACATACAATTTTCTCACAAATGTTGATATTATATATTAATTGATATTAAAAATTGATATTAAAAATGCAATAAAAGTGAAATTAACATGCTATCAAAATTATTACTATTGTAAGTGGTCTGAAAGATTTGAATTCACACCCTCCTATAATAAGACCGCTGAAGTTTGATGGATTGCAACTTTTCTTTGCGAATGGATCTTGTGAATTTGATGTAGAATCAGAATACATCAAGTTCTTTTTTATGAAGATTCTTTTCTTCTTTATATCAGATACTAACCTTATCATAACGCGAGGGATCAACCTTGATGTGATTAAATTATCGGGATAATGATCTTAAACGCGATGAAAGTGCTATAATAAATGTATTAATGACTTTTTATCATATTAATAAGTTTTATAATATAATCGCAAGTTAATAATTAATAATAAATATGTCTAATTGATGTATTTCATTCCGCATTTATCAATATTTCATTAAATTGGTTTAGAAAAATTTATGTTATCGTATGTATTTTCGATATTTTCATATAATCCCGCATTATTAAATTTTGTTAATTGTACTCCTATAATATAATTTTTATTATATTTCGAACAACATTTTTTATTATACATTGTATTGTAAATAATTATTATTGTATAATAAATTATTGTAAAATAATTATTATTGTATTATTAAATGTATAAAGAATTACAATAAAAGATAATATTAACAAGCTATACAATATAATTGCTAATTATTTTATTGTATTTCGCTAATCAATGCAATATGATTAGCGAAATATAATAAAATAATTAGAGAGAGAGAGAGATATAAAAATAAAAAATAAATTTGAAACATATTTACCTGCAAAAACGAACTAAATTTAATAGTAACTCGTTTTTTTATAGTATATTTACAAAGTATATTTACAAAGAAAAGAGGACCGTCGTTAAAAAATGGCGGGGGTGGTGGAGGGCCTCTACAGGTTGATTCATTTTTATTCATTTAAATTTTTTTCACAATTTTAAATTAATTTTAAATGTAGTTTGCTTATACAATTAGAAGAACTCCAACTTTATTCAAATTGCAAACTGTAAATATAATTATAAATTCCATTCGTATAAGAATATGAATGAAAGACTACAATGCATTCTGGTGTTACACTATGAAACTAAATTGTGTTCCAACAAGTACTTTATACAGTGGAACGTCTCTAGGTTCGTTCGGGGAAATGTTATTAACGCTTTGTCATTCTATCTTTGTTGTTTGTTAGATATAAAACAAAGATAGAATGACACAAATAGCGCTAATAATATCTTCCCGAACATACTTTCTGTATCCTAGCTGGAAAACACCTTGTAATCTTTTCATGCTTTCACCATGTGCGAGTATATTGAAGCGCGTTGAGTATGTCGGATGCTAACCTATTGTACACTTCTGATCTGAATATATTCGAACCAGAAGAAAATAAACGTGTTCTATCTTGTCGATTATAGAATTGTGTAGAATTAAATATATATATATATATA